AGAATTCCTAAATTATGCTACTGATTATTAAGTAAACAAAATTATGAATCTAACACAACAAAAATTAAGAAGAACAGATTCGTGCTATCAATTAGAACTCAAAAAAAATGAACGAACAAGTATGAACAGAAAAACAAAGCCAATTACTGACTCTAAATGGATTGGTAAGCAAAAAATGAAAACTAAATTGATTAATCATGAAGAAGAGACAGTGGAGGAGAATCTAATTTAAATAACGAGAAAAAACAAAGAAAACTCACCTATGTAGCTCTAGAGTCCTGCCGCTTCTTGTGATTTAGAATTCGAGCACCTTGGGCGAGATTCGAAGGCCACTGATGATGGATTAGGAATGAAAGAAGTGAGGAGATCACATGGTGCGAATTTGGTGCGATTTGGAGGATTTAGGGTTTTGGGGCCCGAGTTTCAATTTGAAATTCGAGGAATCTGGTGGTGATTTGAGGGAATCTAAACCTAGACTTGGAAAGAAGAGGAGGAGAGGAGCATGGGGTGTGATTTTGGGGGCGTTTGGAGGTGGCACCGCCGTGGGCGGCGGAGGCGGCGCCACTGTTTTGAATATTCGAAAAGATAGGCTATGAGTTGAGGGAAAACATTTGGGGCGTTGGAAAGAGGAGGGGAAGAGGAGTCGAGGGTGTAAATTTGGGCGAGTTTGGAGACCGGCCGCCGCCGTGAGGCGATTTCCGGCGGCGGTTCGCGGCGGAAGACGGTGATGGTTAGGGTTTGAGTGTAGGGTAATGAGAGAGACGGAGAAGGGGGTAGGGGGGGATCTCCAACCGTTTTATATTAAAATATCCCTAGTTCCTCACCGTTGGATCAAGGATCCTCGACGGCCAGGATCTAGCGTGACAAAACGACGCCGTTTTTGAATTAAAATGGGCGGACCGGTTGAGGGTATGGATCTGGGCTGATTTTGAAATGGGTTTGGGGTCTGGGCTTGAGTTTTTGAACAAAGATGGCCCAATTCCGGGTCCCTTAACAAGAAGACTTCCTTTTCTTTTAAAAATATTTTATTCAAAATTATTTATTTTATTTTGATTTTGATTTTGTTGGATAGAAATAGACCTGATTTAAATCTACAATTGAACTAATTAAATTTCCTAAGATCAGCTAAATCCCAATTTAAAAAGAAAGCTAAATAAAAAATGTAAAATGACAAATTTGTTATTTTTCTCTTATTTTTTTTATGATGTTAATTAACTAAAAATCTAGAATTGGGTCCTAAATGCAAGTGGGCTATTTTTTGTATTTTTATGAATTATATCAAGCTAAGAATGCACACAAAATGCAAACAAGATACAAAATCATGCAATTAATTCCTAAAAATAAAAGAAAATTCTAATTCTAATGAATTTATAGGAGCAATTTAAGCGTGGCAAAAATCACGTGCTCACAGTGGTCTGCCATTTTTGTTTCAAGAAGAACGAGCATGGCTGGCTTGTGCATTTTTACCATCTCCATACAATGCCACTTGAACTCAGCATTGTTTCCACCCCTAACATTCCATATGATGTAATTCATTAATGGTGATGGGATGGGTTGGTGAAGACCTTTCTGAGGGTTCCCTATTCCTTGAAGAGCCCTCGTCGGAGATGGTGGGGTTTTCCTTTTGAGGCTGAGGACTGGAGTCAGATTCAATAGTGGTTTGATAGGTCCATCTTTCTAGTGGGACACTAGGATCAGACCGCACTTGATCATTGATCTGGGGCATAGAATCACTAGCACCTCGCTTGTGTCTACACTGAACTCGATCGCCTTGACTGAGTCCAGTAGGAGCGAGTCTGTTCGTAGGGGGCCGTAGATTGCTCCCTCTTCCTCTGGCGAGCTTTTCTTTTTGAGAATTTGTAGGGCCTTGCTGATTCCCTTTTTGATGTTGCTGAGAGGTAGAGAATTGCTCTTCTCTGATGGTGCAGAAGATGATGTCATTTGATGGGTTTGGGGGTTAATTGTCACAAAGATCGAGTCCGCCGTTAGGTCCTTTATTGTCAGATCGGGGAAGAAGGGTAGGGACTGGAATGTTTGGAACATCTGGCTGTTGAGTATCTGAGGGTCGATGTTGGGTGACGTACTGTCCTTGTTCACCATCGTCTGCCATAGGCATGGACCAAAGGCAGCTAGGGCTTTGTTCAAGGCCTCCACAGTAACCCTTGCTAGGTGTGCTAGATTCTGGACAATCAGCATCACTTTCTGGTAGGTTTCCCAAGGTGAAACTGTAGGTTAAGCCCTGCCCCTGCAACGCCGCTTCCAGCCAAGAAGTCGGAAGGTGGTCCGGTGGTAGTGGCAGTGAGGTGACGAAGGTTGTCGTTTGCTCTTTTTCCATTTTTGTGTTTTTTGGTTTTACTACTTTGGGTAATGTGGGGGATTAACTTAAGGGGTTGATCCATTATTATGCCTTTTGGTGTCAAATCTCGGTTAGTGGAGAAGGCGACGATAATTGTGCCTGGGGGGGGGGGGATTGTGCATTAATTAGTGATCTTTTGGAGTAGACGGTGGGTGTCTTTTCATCTGAAAATGAGAGAGGTTCCAGAGAGTGCACTTGAGTGTTCGTGGTGACTGTTGATATTTCCCCATTAGAGGTTATCTCAGAGGTAGTGGTAGGGGAAGCGTAGGTGAGAGGGTATGGGTAGTTTGTTGGGCTTACAGCCTCCAATTGCGTAAGGGGCCTTATTGGATGGGCGTGACTGGCCCCATAATCCCTTGCCACACATTTGGGGTGTGTAGCCTCGTTAGATGGTCCAAAAGTGGCGTTCTGTTCTAGGGGAGCGTGATTGGGGTCAAGTGAGTGGGTTGTGTCAGGCTCATCGGACCCCGATCCAGCTTTTTGTTTTGTACTTGTATTGGGTTGGGACCACGTCTGGTCGGTGGCCCGGTAATGAGGGGTGGGGCTTAGTTTGCTATTTAGGCCTTTGGGCCTATTGAGGGGTTTTGGGTTGTGTTTAGCATTTTTTGAATTGTACTGAGCAGTTTGGGTTTGAAGAAACTTACCTGAACTTGCATCGAACATATTTACTTGGATATGTTGAGCATGTGTTGATTGATGTTGGTTATTTATCACTACTCCATTCCTATCATTTGATTTTTGTTGGCCTTGCTTTTTCCTTCTTGGGAAGGTGATTGTTTTCCACTCATTTTCTTCCCTTTGTTCCACATTTTATCTGATGTTTCCGGTGCTTCTGGTGGGGCAGTTGGTTGAGATTTTCGGTAGTTGCATCCCTTTGAGGTGTGTCCAATTCTGCCACATGACGTGCATAGTGTACCTTCCCGTTCGTAGATCACTGCTTGTTTGTGAATCTCCAGTTATGACTGAGGTTTCCACCGGGGTTTCTAGAGGAACCTGAATGCATATGCGAGCATATCTTCCCCTGAGGGTGGAGGAGGTGCATGGGTCTATTTTCAACAATTTGCCTAGCTTCCTTCTTACTTTTTCTAGAATTTCTTTGTCATAGAATTCCGTTGGCAGTTGTGGAAGGCGAATTCAAATGGCTGTGGAAGAGAGAGTGGCCTCTTGTGGGACGAATTTTGGTTCCCATTTTCGTACTGATAGGAAGTTCCCTGAGATAAACCATGGTCCTAGGTGTAATGCCTTTACCATATTTTCCTCTAAGCTGAATTTGACAATGAAGAAGTCTCATCCTAGGTCAATCAAGATTAACTGTTCAGATGGTTTCCATAATTCAATTAGTTTAGAGCGAAAGATGTGCGGCATTCTACGTCTAAAGACCTTTATGATTACAGAGTAGCGCCATGGGATGTAGAGGCGCTGTTTATCATCATGGGGGAGAGGATTGATCCTTCAATGTTTTTTCCTTTATCTTTCTCTATGTTTGTGGGAACGTCTTCTTCGTAATATTCATTTTGCTGGCTTGCCGGTTTATCCGATAGCATTTCCTTATAGGAGTGTTGTTTGGATCACTTCAATGTCCATTTGGTTGGGCTTAACCGATGGTCCCGGTGGGATATGTTTTGTGATCATGGAGGAGTTCATGGTTTTGGAGTGATGACTATGATGAAAAGGAAATCTAGAGAGAGGAGAAGAATTTTTTGTACTGCCTATGTGAGTTACAATAACGTATAGTTGGGTTTAAGTTCCGATATAGAAGAATATAACTCTTTAATAACTCGCGTTTGTGAGTTTCACGAAAACAACATAACATCGGGGTCAAATTCTGATGTCCTTACTTTAATTTTTAAATTATTTAGTTTGATATAAAAACCAAATGCATGTAAATGTCTAACTTTATAAGCGCTACTATGTACACCAACCATTTTCAGGGATAGTTTATTGATTAATTTAACACAACTAGATGGTGTTCTTTTTCTGTGTTTCCTATTTAGCAGCATTGACACTAGAATCTCATACGCAACAAGATTGGTTATTCGTATCAAAATCATCATCTGATAAACGTGGAATTGATACCAGAATGGAATTGTTTTCTTCCTGCGATTGGAAAATCTGGATATTTTGAGTTGAGTTCTTCGACAAAAATAAAATAAAAAACAATTAATTCCAGTTCGTTCTTTCATCAAGCAATATTTTCCGTTCGATGTCCAAATCCCTAGGAGACGCACTTATCTGTTTCGAAATTGTTTAGATATAGGCGATATAACGTGAAATTTTGACATTTAACTTGAAATCGAGAAGGATAGCATAAATTATGAATCTTCGATACTAAATACCAACTTGTATATACCTTAGGAAAGTTTTCCCCATTCAGCTAAAAAATTGAATTTTCTTGGGGTGGAATCAAAAGTAAAAATCGTACTAGCATCTAAACAAGCAAATGTACAAGACGACCACATGAGGCAAATCAGCAAATAATACTCTCTTCTTTCTTCTAATATTGATTATTGATTGAACGTGAATTAACTATGAAAGGAAAATTAGGCTGACACTGACTTTGCAAGAATCTTCCTTTTGGCACATGGCTTGTATTGTCGCACCTTACCTTCTCTAATATGCTTACCAATAACAAGGTAAGAAGAGATACCAAAATATGACCAAAGAGATCAAATTAAAACATACATTTTGTACAAGGAGATTAACTAAATAACAAACTAATTTACAGAACTAGCTTCCAATATTGTGTGTGATGGGCTATATTCTGCAAGTCTTCCTTAGGAAAATGGTACGACGAGTGCAAAGACGTGCAAGAGGCTAATACATATGCAAAAATTTGGAAGAACAGAAAAGGCTTGTAATGGGCAAGTTTGTGCATGTTAGAACATCATCTGACTTGGTCATCCTAACAGCTTTGATCCATATAGTCGGCCCAAAATGTCAACTGTATTCCCCCTCAGAAGATTTACTCACTAGGCAATATACGGAAACACTAATGTCTTTACACTGCAATTTTTGCCAGTGCAAGAGCTCCATTGAAAGCTATAGGTAGCGTCAAATATCCAGAATCCTGGGCATTGGAAAGTCCAGAATACATGAATGAAATGTTCAGAAAGACATCACCCTTAACAGAAGGTAAATCAATCGATCTTTACCAGAATTTTACAGTCAAGTCAAACATACCTCATCAAGTGAACAAGATTTCTATGAAACATGTCGAAATGGAAAAGGGCGTGAGCTCTCGACAGCTTGTCTAATGCAAGGGAATCGATCAGCCCATGATGAATATGCTATACCAAATTTAGATAGCACAAGTAGAATAAGCAACTGTTTCTCAAACTTTGTCAAAGCTAGGAAGAAAGAGAATATACGAAATAGAACTACTAAACATTCTTAATATAAGAGAGCCACAAACCTGAGCTAATTATCTGAAATAGATCAACTTCAGCTTTAGCATCATCGGACATCAAGTCCTGAATTAAGCCAGAAAAATAATTTGTCAAATGGAGTATCAGAAACCACAACTAACAGATCATTTCTATGGCATGTTTCTTTCTCATGTCCATTTTAAACGGGAGGAAGAGGAAGGGTGGGGAGGATCGGTTGCTGAGATTGCTTATGAGTAATCCCAACATATCAAAAAGCTATTATTGATGTACAGTCAAATTAGGTATAACAGAAGGGTTGAAGCATAAGCCAGTAAATTACCTGACCACACATAGCAAAGCTTCGTCCAATGAGCTTCGACAGACTAGTAATATTGCCAGCAGCGAAGTCAGGATGATTTAGAAGAGCTTCCTCTGACTTCAACTCAAGTATAAGTGAACAGATGCTTGATGCCATCATGACAATAGATGCATCATCCGTACCCTCTGTAATGCAAATATAGAAATTTCAGCAACTTCATGAAAGCAACCAAAAATCAACTAGGTGAAAAATGGTCGAGACAGTACGTCTTGGTAGAGAGAAACTGGGCATCTACCATCTCCAGGCAATTTGTTAGGAGCCTTCATAATTTATAGATACGTATATATAATATTTACTCATGGTGGTCACAAATAGCTGAAAATTCAATGACAACATGGAAGAATAATTTGTTACTGAAGTACAGCTCTCCTTTTATTTTGACATAAATAAATTTCAGATCGACAATCAACCACGCTCTGGTTTTATTGGTAAGTGATGTCAGAAATCCGTTCAGGAGATTTTTTTTTTTTTGAGAAGGTCCATTCAGGAGATTATAAAGGCAGAATTCTATTAAGGTTTCTCTGACATCCCTAATAATGAGACATTATCCCTAGTAACTGCAGTATCTCAGCTTGAAAGCATCTACAACCCGCCCAGCAATGTTGAACAGGTATGCATGCACACAAAAAATAATGAAAAAAGAAAATAAAATTGAACAAGCTCTCCCTCCCTTGCCTTTGGTATTTACTTTTTGCGCTCACGTGCGAGCAACAGAAAAGAGCTTCACAATCTCACATATTGGAGGGATAGCCAGATAGCAGAGATATACGATTTCTAGGTGGTGCATTTTGAAGCATCAGAAGTTCCTTGGACGGAAGCAGCAATGACCCACCACTAAACAGAAACCTTTTCCTAGTTCAATTAAATTAAATTCTCTCTTCCCATTCTGTACCCCTTAAACTGTGGAAGTAAGAGGTTAGGAGTAAGCAAATATGTTGCCCTGGGGGTCTCCTTGATACTAGATACTGGTTAGTTAAAAGTTACACCTCTTCGCAAAAAGTGGATGGGCTTTAGTTTTCAACTTTTTGGATATGCTACAGACGGGAGACATGAATAATGAATGCAGAGGAAACCAAGAAAATTCAACAGTTGAAACAAAGAGATCAGGCTTGGCAAGTGCAAAAAGCTTGAGTTAAAGATGTTACCTGCCCAATGTGACAATGCAACTAAAAGTCTGATAAAACTGGAATCATCTGAGGGAATTTTGATTTGCTCGCGCTGTTCATGAGAAGGCAACATTGTCAATAACATCATATACACATAACTAATTCATCCAATAATATTCTGTTGTGCGGAAACTACCTTTAGAAGAAGATTCAAGACTGTGTCACACGCCAAGAATATAGAACCATTATCCTCATATGTATAATTGTTTTGTTCAATCAACGCAATGAGACAACCGACAACCTGCAGATTAAATACATTCCTTTGGAAGATCAAGATACGAAGAGAAGGACATATAGATGGAGTGCCAGCTGCCATAAAAAATATTGGTTCATAGTGATCGCGAATATGCTGTATTAATCTTAGAAATCAGAATGAAAGTGAGACTCACTTCTCTTAATGCACCTGAGGAAGCTAAAATTTTACAACCTCCAGTCTTGAGAGTTATTTGACACAGCATTGGAAGCAAAAAACAGATGGAATAAAAAGGACTGCCATTTAAAACCATGTCAAGTTCCACGTCAGCCGCATTTTCAAGACATTGAGAGAAATGTTAGCTAATCAAAACAGTAATAGAAATCTCAAACCTCAATTCATCTTCCCCTTCAATTGAAAGCATATAACCTAGGAGTGCCGTGACCTTGTCTTTACATGCATGAGGTGCTTCTGCTAGATAGCTGAAAGAACAAAAGACATTTCACTATTTAGAAATTTCTCTAACGGAATCCAGTTCAAACTCCAATCACCAACAAATATGGAAAGAAGTTTTTGTTGGAACAAATTCAACTCCAACTTCCTCACAAATTTCAAGGCGGGAGTAAAAATCTACAACTCTCCAACAAGCAGATGAAACCAGAAAGTTGTAGACTTCAAGTCACCCATAAATGTGCAGATGTGCAATTGCATCCATTTACAACAGGAAGCTGAATCAGAAGTAAAAGAAATTTCCTATTTGAATGAGCAATGAAATTGGGAATGAAGCTTGTCAGCAGATGAGAGAAACAAATAAATAATTTAACTCACAGTGGCAGAAAAGCATATAAGAGAACAACAAGGTGATAAAACTCGAGCACAAGCAAAAGAAGCAATTGATCCCAATTTGAAGAACGAAAAACTAGAAACTCAAACTAGCAAGGATTTTGCTAAATCTGTTCAATGGAAAGGCTTACTTCTTTCTCTAAGAATATCACCGGCAAAGACAGGTACGGTTGATAAAAATTACAGTGTTAATACTAACAGTTTTCTCGGGGACTATTTTTTATGCAGCCACAGTTTTTTCTACTTTTTTTTTCCGACATCCACACAGAAGGAAAGGTGGGATTCATACCTTCCAATTACTCGCACTGCTGCTAGAAGATCATCCCCTTTCATCTGTCCATGCTCCTGCCAAAACATCATTGTTGCGTGAGCATACTTGCTATACTTTTTCTCCTAGGCACTAATGGATTAATAGTACCTTAGCATCTCGTAGATAGTCCAAAACAACACCAATTGTCTCATTGAGCCCAGAAATGATTTTTGTGAAAGTGCTCTCACTGATAACAGCATTAGCAGTTGACTCTGCAAATGGCCATCATTACATGAACAGCTCATAAGTCATCTCCTAACAGCTCTCTCTACTCTTGGATCAAGAGATAACAGCAAAGCATTACATGCAAATGAAACACACCCTCTGTCCCAGAATCAGGCTTCTTATTTGACAAAAATTGACTGTAAAGTGTAGTACAAGTGGAGATGACCTTAGTATTAAAATTTTTAGCACTAATCGGGTTCTGTATTAATGTCTTCAGTAATATAATATTGAAAAGTCTCAGAGAATATAAGAAATATATAGGCACATACCTTCGCCACCAAAACTTGAAATAAGTTTAATTATTTTTTCCACCAAAGAGAAGGCTATGCCAAGATTCCTCTGCTTCACAAGAATATTCTCTTTATTTGAGGGCTCCTTGGAGGCTTCATATTTTAAGTATGCTAGGTCATTTAAAAGCACAGCAATTTCAACCCTGGATGACTCCAAAACAAGCAGAATACACCTGAAGAGATGAAGAGACACTTAATGCTTTCTACGTCCCAAGTCAGAGATAAGCCAATGGAGGAGGCAAGTTAAAGCAAGAGGAACACAACTTCAACACCATGAATTTCTGCTTTACCTGTCAGCAGGCAGGGAATCCTGGGAATTAGTTAAGTTCATCTCCCCAATTAGCCACCCTTCACCGACAATTGATATGACAGATTCCGCCAGGATAAGAGCCTGAAGCTTATGCGAAGGTGCTGCGATAGAAATGAGGAGAAGGAGAAATAAAATAATAGATATATGTATTTAAAAAAGGACCTCAAAACAACTTAATATGGAATAAAACCATGCACAATTTTCACTGAATTGGGAAAATGTTCCACTTAGGAAACATAGGAGTCAATATTGAAGAGATTAAGCTGGAATACCCTTTATGTGGCTACTTGAGAGCTCGGCTTCCCTGGTTTTTTGGCCTATACTCAATAGAGTACTAATAACGAAATTTGGAATCAAATCAGAATTCTCTCAATCAATCAATCAACTACACCTCAATATCAAACTAGGAGAGGTCGACAATATGAATCCTTCAAATCCACTTGGCTCTACTTGGTCCCATTTAACTCGACACCGATAAATAATTTGTGCTTTAAGGCAAATAAGAGATTTTCTAAAGCTCATTTATCCTACACCGAAATACCAAGTCTCTAACTATGGTTAAGAAACTTTTGGCAAACACCGAACCTAAAGTAAGTGTAACAACAACTAAACCTTTGTCGTTAAGCCTTAATTCTAACTAGTTACTATGACCTATATGGATCATTTGCTTCATGTGTTCTGTTAGTAACTAAATCCATATTGATTCCAGGAGATTGTAGGTTTTTTGAGGGAACTTCAATCCACATGATTTTAGATCTAACTCGTCCCATTTTAGCGCCTACAATCATCACATTGTTACACCTATGGAAATGCACTATGTAAGACATGGCCAAACCATCTTATGTGACCGACTCTCATTTATCCTCTATGTTACTATTGACCCTCTCTCTGCAATGATTATCATAATCTTCAGTAATCTTGTACAATTAAGAATTTATCTTAGCATCCGTATTTCTATGGCACCTCATTGTATAGATATGTTAGGCCTCCACATTCAATCCCCTATTCTCTTGAGTAACAAAAATTACTTTCACGAGGTCAAGGATATGAAATATGGATAAAGAAATATATTTATACATCAATGTTAACATACCGACTCGATTCTGCAAGATAGCTACAATACCAATGCGCATGTTTGTCGACCAAACATCATTTTTCATTAAGCGAAGAGCATCATATACAGGCACCTGCAAGTTGTGTATAAAAAGTCACAGCCAGATTCCGAACTATAGAGGTATGATGAAAGGAGCATATATGGGGTTCAAGGAGCAAACAAAGAACTAATGTCCGAATGCAAGATAAAATGTATCAAGCCTTCTTCAAATGGTAAACTGTAAATTCTAAAAGATCACTAAGAGCAAATCCCGATAAGCAGGACTACGCTCTATCAATTTTCACTCTATATACAACCATAAACTTTGATTGGTTATTCAAATGTATTCTTTTTCAAATCTATTCCTCTAGTTCCACATAAAGGATATATCAGTAATTCTAAAAGATTCATTTTAAAGCTTTCTTTTAATATGTATGAAGGATACAAAGATAATGAATATCTCTATATATAAAAAATATAAAGCTAGAGAAGTTGCCTAATGGTGCAATGACTGCTGGCAAGTATGTTAACTGATAACTACAAACAAATCAATCTATTGGTTAACCAAAACATGGAAAATCATATAACAGAAGATCTTGAATTTTTAATATAGTTGATTGCGTGGTAGCAAGAATATATGACCATGTTACACCAAAAGAAAAGATAGTACACATGTTTAATATAAAGTAACTAACATACAGAATAACTGTTGGACAGGATAGTTGATAGCAGGTGAAGCGCTTCAAACTTCAGTGCATTCTGCAGCACAGCAAACTGCTTTGCCACTGCAGCCACCTGAACAAAAATATAAAAATACAAATTAAGTCCACGTGAAAATGCATTCTCTGCCGTAAACTGAGAGTCCAACAACTGCACAAAAAAACTCTGAGGGACTCAGTGCTTGTAGACTCACCACCATTGACAGATCAGCTGGATGCTCAGAATAAACATTTTCTGAGGGTAGCTTAATAAGAATGATTTGCACAAGTTTCATAGCAAGTTCAATCATATGAGAACCTGAAAATGATTTTAAAAGACAAAAAGGGCCAGATAGAGAAACAAAATCAGGTTGAATCTATGTAGCGAATAGAGAGAATGTAAAGCTTGGAGTGCTAAGGTGAGGCCATGATCCTTAGGAAAAGTAACATGCTTCAGATGAGCAAACTAAATACCATCCGGTAGAATTGACATTTGTGAAGCTACCACATGCAAGCCAGCAGATTCGTACATGGTTTTAACCCCTTCTTCATTGGCCGCTGAGACCAAAAACAAAAATTCGTAGCATTCTTCAATGATAGGTGACCCTGCTCTGGAAGTGTAAACAAAGCGCCAAATATTACATATTTGGAAGAAGAAATGGAGAAGGCAAATGTACTTGTAATTAAAGAAATGCACCACACAGTAACATCCCACTAGATCACTGAGCTCTCTAGCACAATAACATAAACTACTTCAGAAACAACAGAATAACTTTAACTACCTCTGCATTTACTAACGGAATCTCTCACCCAATTAATAAGAACAACATAAACTACAGAATTGAAATTGCCAAAGAAATGATTCACCAGAAAACAACAGAACTGAAACTGTCAACAAAATGATTCACCAGAAAAATACTTTGTGGACATTATCTCTACAATGAGAGGAATCTTAGTAACCATATCTTCAGAAGCCGCAATCTCAGGAACTCTACAAAATGCTGCAAGAACAGTGATTGACAACTGCAAGTAGGCGTCACGGTTATCACCCGGTCCATCACTTCCTTTCCCCATTCCTATTAAGAACCAATTTTCAGATTAAAACTTCAATCAATCAATCAGTCAACTACAACTCAAAGCCAAACTAACTGAAGTCTGCAATATGAATCCTCTATATAATCCCCTCCAGTTTTGGGCCGATTTCGTTGCGATTCTGATAAATAATTATCTTTTAAGGCAAATTAGGAAATTGAACCTTAAATATAAATTTCAGGGTCGAGTGGGGGAACCCTTGCATTCTAAAAGTGCAAGTTTGCCAGATTGGCTCCAAAAGGGAAAAAGAGAGACAAGTTGACTACAATTTTTTCCCCTTTTCCTTGAAAAATTATACTGTGCATATAGGGTGAAAATGTTAAAAATGTAAGTTACATATATACAGTTGAATCCCCTTGACAAAACGTAAAATTATTTCCTAGTGGTAAAGGGGTTCAAGAGTTGCTTTAAGTCCACAAGTTCAAATCTCAAGTATGACATTCTTTCAATGGCGGAGGTGTCAACCGACACCCCTTTGTCGAAAAATTACACTGTTTAGCTCGGTAATTCTTTTAAAAATATGTATATATACTCTAAAGTGACACCCCTTGACTGACTTCTTGGTGAGTTTATTTCTTTACATTTTGACTCCCCTTAATGAAAATCCTGGCTCCACCACTGCATTCTATAACTATTTTTTTGAATCCGTAGATAAAACCGTGGCTCCGCCACTGCACTAGACTATGCCTTGACACACTTAACTACCAATTCAAATGCTAAAAAGTCGATAAACAAAAAAAATACCCTTTACCGGTACGAAGAAGGCGGTGGAGGAATTGAGGTCCGACGGCGTCGTAAACCTTGCGAATGGCGGCGTGGTCATCTTTATTGCAAAACTTTGTAACTAAAAGCAGACCCGCTAACCGCTGCTCATCTCTTTCTCCTCTCAGTAGCTTCAAACAATCATCAAATGAAGGTTGTGATTGAGGTGGCGCTTGAGATGATGATGATGCTCCACTACTTGAAGCTTGTTGTTCCTGCAATTCAAACAAAATGAGTCAACAAAATGGAGGATTACTTTGATAAATTGAGTGGTGAAAGGAATAAAGTAGAAGGCGTTGTGAAGCATTTTAGCAACCATTCAAGTGGCTGGAGAAGAAGCAGCAGAGTGTGGAAAATCAAAAGGAGATTTCCAGAAAGTTGAAGTCTTTGTGCTGTGGAGGGAATGTTTTCAATGTCAGTAAAAACGACGCCGTAAAGAGTACCTTGAAGATGTTTCTTGAATTTTATAGAGGAGAGGGAAAAATATTATAATTAGATGGAGTATCATTTTTACACTAATACAGGCAGAAATTTTAGGAAAATCATTTTTTTTAAAGTAAGTTGTATTATGCAACAACAATAACATACTCATTATTATCCCACACTGTGGGGTTTAGGGAGTGTAGTGTGTATGCATTCCTTACCCCTACCTTGTGAGCATAGAGAGTTTGTTTCCAATAGACCCTCGGCTCAGGAAAGCATAAGCACCACGTTAATGAAAATATAGACAAGAAGGGACATCACCAAAAGCCATATAAAAGCAGAAGAAAGACAACAAGTAAGCTGATCAATAATGAAAGAAAATAACGGTTAGTCATAAAAGCCTACTACCAACAGAAAGTAAGACTGCGTGCCAATACTAATGTTATGAGCACTCTAGACTACCTACTCTACTACCTTCCCATCAAGGGTCATGTCCTCGGTCAGCTTAAGTTGCATCATGTCTCGCCTAATCACCTCTCCCCACCTCTTCTTTGGCCTACCTCTACCTCTCTGTGGGCCCTCCAATGTCAATCTCTCACACCTTCTCACCAGGGCGTATGTGCTCATCTTCCTCACATGACCAAACCACCTAAGCCGCGATTCTCGCATCTTATCCGCAATAGAGGCCACACCCATCTTGTCGCGAATAACCTCATTTCTAATCCTATCTAACCTGGTGTGCCCAACATCCATCTCAACATCCGCATTTCTGCTACCTTCATCTTCTGGACATGAGCGATCTTAACTGGCCAACACTCAGCCCCATACAACATTGTCAGTCTGACCACCACTCTGTAGAACTTACCTTTAAGTTTCGGTGGCACCTTCTTGTCACATAAAACACCGGAAGCGAGTCTCCATTTCATCCATCCTGCCCCAATACGATGTGTGACATCTTCATCAATCTCCCCATCGCCTTGAATAATAGACCCAAGGTACTTAAAACTCCCTCTCCTAGGGATGACCTGTGAGTCCAGCCTCACCTCCCCTTCCCCTCCTTAAGTCTCACCACTGAACTTACACTCCAAGTATTTTGTCTTGGTCCTGCTCAACTTGAAACCTTTAGACTCCAGGTCTGCCTCCATACCTCTAACTGCGCGTTTACACCGCCTCGCGTCTCGTCAATCAATATAATATTATCTGGAAATAGAATACACCATGGCACCTCTCCTTGGATGTGGCGCGTTAGTACGTCCATCGCCAGGGCAAACAAAAAAAGGCTGAGTGCCGACCCCTGATGCGAACCCATCATAATAAGAAAATGGTCCGAGTCCCCACCATCCATCCTCACTCGGGTCTTTGCTACATAATACATGTCCTTAATCACCCTAACGTAGACAATAGGTACAGCTCTAGCCACCAAACATCTCCATAAAACCTCCCTCGGAACTTTATTGTACGTCTTTTTTAAGTCGATGAACACCATATGCAAGTCCTTTTTCCTTCTCTATACTACTCCATCAATCTCCTAACAAGGTGGATGACTTCTCTAGCCGAACACCCCAGCATAAACCTAAACTGGTTCTCAGAAATAGACACATTCCTCCTCATCCTTAGCTCTACCACTCTCTCCCAGACTTTCATAGTATGGCTAAGCAGCTTGATACCCCCGACAGTTATTGCAATTTTAGATATCCCCCTTATTCTTGTATACAGGAACCATCGTGCTCCACCTCCACTCTTCGGGAATCTTCTTTGTTCTAAAAGACATTAAATAACCTAGTGAGTCACTACAAGCATGCCTTGCACGCACTCTTCCAAAACTCTACCAGAATTTCATCTGGCCCGGGCGCTTTGCCCCTGCTCATCTTATGCAGAGCCCCCTCCACTTCATCAATTATAATCCGCCTATAACAAGTCACAACGACTCCCAGAGAGTTCCAAATCGCCTAGTAAGTTGTATGCATCCAAAAATCTTAAGAAATGAGATAGGTGTTATAAAATAAAAGCAATATAGCAGGAACTATGTAATTAAGATCAATAATAGAAGAGAATGATAATAGTAAAAAGGAAGATCTTTTTCTTTTGTTTCAAAGTGTCTTCTTTAGGTTCATGAATGAACCTATTTATAGATACAATTGCATTGTTACATAACTTCCTAAATCTAGTTATGAGTCTCAAAATCAACAAAAATCTAGACATGAAGACAGATCTAAAATATGGCAAGATTTTCAAATCTTAAGTTGGACATCCACCTTCTATGCAATTGGATTTATAACAACATGAAGACAAATTTAAGATATGGCAAGATTTCCAAATCTCAAACTGGACATCCACCTTATGTGTAAGTGGATTTATAATACTTTCCCTTGGATGTCCAAAGATAATGTGCCTTGTTAAAACCTTACTAGGAAAAAAACATATGGGAAAAAATTCTAGTAAAGAAAAAAGAGTACACATATCATGTAATATGCATTGAGAGCTACCTCATCAAAAACCTTACCAGGAAAACCCAATTGGGACAAAATCTTGGTTAAGGAAAAAAAGAGTGCAACGCGTATTTATCCTCGTGATGAAAATTCTATTTGATATCTCGGAGACGACGCATTCCAATCCTCTATCTTAACTTCTCAAATTTTGATGTCAGTAATGGCTTAGTGAACAAATCTGCTAAATTATCACTCGAACGAACTTGTTGAACATCTAATTCACCATTCTTTTGAAGATCATGCGTGAAAAAGAATTTTGGTGAAATGTGTTTTGTTCTGTCTCCCTTAATATATCCCCCTTTTAGTTTAGCTATACATGCAGAATTGCCTTCATAGAATTTTATTGGAATATCCTTTCCCTATGAAAGACCACATATCTCCTAGATATGTTGAATTATTGATCTTAACCAAACGCATGCTCAACTCGCTTCATGAATAGCTATTATCTCTGCATGATTTGAAGAAGTAGCAACCATCGTTTGTTTTGTTGAATGCCATGATATGTCAGTACCTCCACATGTGAATAAATAACCTATTTGAGATTGACCCTTATGTGAATCTGACAAATGTCCTGCATCTGCATAACCAATCAGTTGTTACCTGGATTGTAACGATCCGACCAGTTGTTTTGAGCTCTAACACGTCGTTCGGTGGTTTGAGGCCATGAGCAGCTTCACTTAAGGTATTATAACTTGTACGTATGGTCGAAATTGAATTTCGAGAAGTTCGGAGTTAATTTGGAAAGAAAATTCTCATTTCGGAAGCTTTAAGTTGGAAAAAAATTGACTAAGGTGTGATTTTTAAGTAAACAACCGCAGAATCAGGATTTGAAGGTTACAACAGGTCCGAGATGATTTTGTACTTGGGCGTATGTTCGGATCGGGTTTTGCATAACCGGGGAGCGTTTCGGCGCCTACTGTGGAAAAGTTGATACTTAGGAAGAATTTCGTGAATTTGGGTTGAAGTGCATTTCAATGTTACCGATGTTCATTTGGTATTCCGAGCCTGGGAATAGCTTCCTATGGTGATTTTGGTCTTAGGAGCGCGTCCGGATGTGGATTTGGAGATCCGTAGGTCATTTTGGGGTCATTTGGCGAAAGTTGGAATTTGAAGGTTTTTGGGAAGTTTGACCGGGAGTGGACCCTTTGATATCGGGGTCGGATTCCGATTTAGGAAGTTGGAGTAGGTCCGCAATGTCGAATGTGACTTGTGTGCATAATTTAAGGTCAATCGGACATGATTTGATAGGTTTCGGCATCGAAAGTAGAAGTTCAAAGTTCTAAAGTTCATTAAGCTCGAATTGGGGTGCGGTTCATGATCTCGATGTTGTTTGATGTGATTTGAGGCCTCGAGCAGGTCCGCGTTATGTTATGGGACTGGTTTGTGTGATTGGACGGGGGTCCCGGGTGCCTCGGGTGTGTTTCGGGGTGGTTTTGGATCAATTTGAGCTGTTTTGGAACTGTTGTTGCTGGTTGTGGTGTTGTCCTTCGCGAGTGCGAAGGGAGTCCCGCGTTCGTGAAGAAGGGATTTTTGGGCTGTCGTGTTGTTCATCGCGAACGCAGTGCATGGACGTGAACGCGAGAGTGGGCCTGGAACAGCCTACGCGAACGCGATCGTGAAGAGGTAGAGAGCTGGGGCTGCCAGGCATTAACCCTTCTTGAACGCGGCTTGAGGCCCGTGAACAAGAAGTATAGGGGGATCACCAGGTTCGCGAACGCGGCCCTTTGGTCGCGAACGCATAGAGGAATTCTGGGAGGCAGAATTTTTAGCCTTCGCCGATCGTGAAGGCATTCCCGCGATCGCGAAGAAGGGTCGTCTGGCAGTGTATAAGTTTGCAAAAATGGGTTTGGCTGCTTTCATCTCATTTCCTCCATGGGAGCCGACCTAGGAGCGATTTTGAAGCTCCATCTTCATCATCTATGTCAAGGTAAGTGATTCCCACATGTTGCAAGTTAAATACTTGGATTATATATGGCTTTTAACATGGAAATTCATGGAAAATTTGTGAAAATTTGGGATTTGGAAGAAAACCTAGAAATTGGTATATTTAGATCTTGACCACGAATTTGGGCATGGAATTGGGAATAAATTATATATTTGAGTTCGTGGGGTTATGGGTAATGTTTATCTTCAAAAAATTTCAGAATCCGGGCACGTGGGCCGAGGGTGATTTTTACCGACTTTTCGAGCGGAGTTGGAAATTATCGTAAATTGGATTATAATGAGTATTAGAGTATATATTTATGAATTTGCACATTTATTGACTAATTTTGTAGTGGGCTTCGGTTGGAGTCGTTGGAGAGGTTTTGGAACCGGTTATGAAATTTCGGAGCGAGGTAAGTCTCTTTTCTAACCTTGTAAGAGGAAATTAATCCCATAGGTGAATTGATTTAATATGTGCTTCTATTTGTGGGGGGATACGTACGCACAAGGTGATGAGAGTCTGTGCGTAGCTACTATTATGCTTATGTCCGGGTAGTCTAGGACCCAAATCATGTTATACTTGCGATGTTTGCAACCTACTTGTTAATTTA